GGCGCTGGCTGCTGCAGGGGCAGCCCCGCTGGCAGCAGGCAGGGCAAGCAGCCCTGCCCTCCCCGTCCCTGTCAGGGACACAGGAGCATCCCCAGCCAGGCAATCCGAGGGGATGTGCACAGCAGCCCCCGGAGCAGGGCACCCTCCCCAGGGCACAGCTGAGATCACCCAGGGAACACCCGTGGCTCTGCTGGCCCTGCCAGGCGCCTGGGCTCTGTCCAGAGCACAGCCCTGCCATTCAGGTGCCATTAAAAGAAAACCTCTGGGGAGGGGAGTAGGGAAGGGCGAGGAGGGGGACTTGGTGTCCTTGAGGCTGTGCAGTGTCACAGAGCGGGGAATGACAGGAGGCAGAGCGAGGCAGAGCTGCCACCAGCTCCATCCCGTGCTGTGTCACCTCCAGCTGTGCCTCAGGAACCCAGCCCTGCTCCCAGCAGCGCCAGGAGACACCACAGACCCACGGCAGCGCTGCCACTAAACCCATCCTATCATTTATAATCCCTAATCACATCACTCCTGAACCTGCTCAGGCCTCCTCCACCTGGCAGGGCCTGCAGGGGCTCCAGGAGAGCTGCAGAGGGACTGGGGACAAGGCCTGCAGGGACAGCACACAGGGAATGGCTCCCACTGGCAAAGGGGAGATTGGGCTGGGATCTTGGCAAGGAATTCCTGGCTGGGAGGGTGGGCAGGGGCTGGGCTGGAATTCCCAGAGAATCCCTGGATCCCTGGCAGTGCCCAAGGCCAGGCTGGACACTGGGAGCACCTGGGACAGGGGAAGGTGTCCCTGCCATGGATGGGTGGCACTGGGTGGATTTAGGGTCCCTTCCACCCAACCATTCCCGGATCCCACGCAAGGGGCAGGAGCAGCAGGATGTTTGGGCTGCCAGGCTCAGCTGTGCAGCTCCTGCAGCAGCTCCCAGCTGCAAACACCAGGGCTCCATCCATCCCTCCGCACTCGGGCCCGCTCCCCACCCAGGCAGGCACGTTTCCCCGCGCAGACAGCGCCGTGGGGCCCGAGGCTCAGGGGAGGCTTTCTGAGCCCCCGCGGGGCTGTCACTGAGCCCTGTGGCTGTCACTCGCTGCCAGGGGTCACAGCTCCGGGCCCGGTGTGCTTTTATCCCCAGCTGCCGGCGTGGGCCGGCTCCGGGCCGGGCCGGGAGATCGCGGCTGCCCTGCTCTCGCTGCGCCTGCAACCTTCCTGCTCTCAAAAAAATCAAATGGATTTGCTTTTGCCTCTGCTCGGAAAGGGAAGGGAAGGAAGAAAAGCACACAACAACACAAAACCCAAAAAGAGCTCCAGCCAAGGGAACATCAAAGGAGCTGAGCTGTTTTCGGCGCTGCTGTAGAAAAGGAAAACATGCAAGGACAAACTGCGCGAGTGATGATAATAAAGGGCCGGGAACAGAGCCCTGCACAGGGCTGGACTCAGGCCTGAAGTGTGTGCAGCACAAAAGCTTCACGTGTGCTCAGCCCTCCCGGGAAGGGCTCTGCAGAGCAGCCTGTGCCTGAGAAACCCTGCCAGCAGTGGTTTGGAGCCCACAGAATGACAAAGCTTTGTCTTGCAGCCTCGCCTTTTCTTCCTGCAAGGGGCAGCCAGGGGCACACAACCCAGCAGCACGGAGCAGAAGGGAAAACAGCGGAAAAAACCCACCCGGGTTTGTGTGCCAGGGAGAAAATGAGGCTGCGCACCCACGGCTGGCTCTGGGCTCACTGAGCCAAGCCAGCAGAGTGGCCTCCGTCACCTGAGGTCAGTGCAGAGCAGGTCCCTGCTGTCACCCCTCCCTGGGTGACACCTGGACCCGTGTCCTGTGTGCGTGAGCTGCTGGATTCACTCAGCCCTGGCCCACCCCAGGGCAGGCCCTGATGGACCCCCAGGCCCTGGAGACCCTCATCAGTGCCACTGCCACACGCCCTGTCCTGCACTGTCACCTCTGTCCTGGTGCTTGCTGCCAGCACAGCCCTGCACTCAGGAGCTCAGAAGGTGCTCCTTGGCATCCCTGGCACTCAGGAGCTCAGAAGGTGCTCCTTGGCATCCCTGGCACTCAGGAGCTCAGAAGGTGCTCCTTGGCAGCCCTGGCACTCAGGAGCTCAGAAGGGCACTCCCTGGCATCCCTGGCACTCAGGAGCTCAGGTACAGGCCTGGGGCAGCCCTGGCACTGAGGAGCTCAGGTACAGGCCTGGGGCATCCCTGGCACTCAGGAGCTCAGGTACAGGCCTGGGGCAGCCCCTCAGCTCTGGCCAGCCCCTCGGGCTCTGCCGTGTGCTCTGGCACAGCACGCAGGGATTTTCCTCCTGCTCTCCTGCACAGGAGCTGGTGCAGAGAACTCCATCCCAGCCGAGCTCTGTAATTCCATCTTTGATGGGCCCATCCGTGGCTCTGAGGAGCTGCCAGCCCTGGATGGAGAGAGCAATCCCCTCCTGCCAAAGACAAACACAGCAGAAAGAGAGAGCAGGCCTGGAGGATGATGAATGGCCCCACGTCCCCGCTGCAGGAGTCTCTTCATTAACCGCTCCACTGCTTTTCCCTCTCCTCTTTGATTTCTCCCTTTGGCTCTGAGCATGTGTCTGCTGCCTGCAGCTCCATGTGCCCAGGATGTGCTGTGCCTGAGGCTGGCTGCTCCTGTCCCAGGTGCCCGTCCCCCTCATCTCCACCAGCCCAGGATGCTGCAGGAAGGGAGAAAAATAAAAGGAAAGAGAAAGAAATAATTCGGCAGCATGCTCAGGCACAGAGTGGGGTTGTTGGAGTGTCCTGTACAGGGCTGGATGATCCTGGATGATCCAACTCGGGATATTCTGTGGTTTTGCGGTTTATATCAGCAGTGTCACCTTGTCCTGCCCCCCGGGGGACAGAGCCTGCCTGGGCCAGGAAGCCACAGCAGGCTGGGCAAACTGGGGCACCTCCCAGCTCGGGCTCCAGGGAGCCAAGGAGCAAACTTCTTGTCCCCAGGTGGCTTCCCCAGAGTGCCCCAGGAAAGGCTCCAGCCCCCTGGGAGCCCCCGGGACCCCCTGTCCCTGCCCCGTGTCCCTCCTCAGCCCCGGGCACACCCTGAGGGGCCCAGGCTGTCCCAGTCCCTGGTGGGGGTCAGCACAGGTGGGACAGGAGGACTGGAGACAGTGTGACATCTGAGGGGAGCCACGGCCTGGAAAAGGGGAACCAAGGCAGGGAGACAGAGACAACCTGCCTGAGAGCAGGAGATCCTAAACAGCTCCAGTGGTGGGTGAGAGACCCCTGAACGGCCAGGGAGGGGCAGGCACAGAATCCTGGAATGGGTTGGGTGGATGGGACCTCAAAGCCCACCCAGTGCCACCCCTGCCATGGCAGGGACACCTCCCACTGTCCCAGGCTGCTCCCAGTGTCCAGCCTGGCCTGGGACACTGCCAGGGATCCAGGGCAGCCACAGCTGCTCTGGGAATTCCAGCCCAGCCCCTGCCCACCCTCCCAGCCAGGAATTCCTTGCGGGATGGGATGGGTTGGGATGGGATGGGATGGGATGGATGGGATGGGATGTTCTGCTCTGCTCGGTTCTGCTCTGCTCTGCTCTGTTCTGTTCTGCTCTGCTCGGTTCTGTTCTGCTCTGCTCTGCTCTGCTCCCAGCTCCGCCGCTCCCTGTGCCCGGCAGAGGGGCTGTGAGGCTCATCCTGCAGCCGGTGTGCCCCGGCACAGCCCGAGGGACAGCCCTGGGTGTGCGGGGACATCCCCGGGAGGGAAGGGGCCCTGGGCAGGGGTGTGGGAGCACTGGCTGTGCTGCTGAGCAGAGCCCCGGGCCAGCCCCGCTGGGCAGCAGCCCTGAGGCACAAAGGGCTCTGCCAAGCCCTCCCCAGCCTGAGCCCCCAGAGCCATGACAGTGTGACACGGTGTGACAGCGTGACCCCGTGTGACAGCGTGACCCTGCACTGCTGGGGGAGCGGGGGCAGTGTGGCGGGGGCACTGCCCGGTGCCACTGCTGGGCCAGAGTCCAAGCCCGGGGACACTGCCCCAGCTCGATGGGATCAGACAAGTCCTTGTCACAGCACTGTCACTCCTCACTTTGTCATTAAGCTGAATGTCTTGAGAGAGGTTTTTTCCAACCACTTCATCACTGCAGGGACTTCTGCAAACCCTCTGCAGCTGCTTAACCCCTGCTGGTCCCTGCCCTGGGCAGGGGAAGGGAGGACATCCCTCTCCAGCAGCTCCATAGGCTGCTCCTCAAGTCTGACCATGACAGAAGTCCTTGGGAGATCCCTAAAAAATGGGACTTTGGGTATGTTTAGGGATCAGTTCATTAATCCTGTCCTGGTCCTCACCTGAGGATGGCCTTGAGAGGGTCCCTTCCAACCTCAATGACACTGGTTTTCTGATTTTGTTATCAGAGTAAGAGGAGATGTTGGATCCTTGATCCCAGCTGCATATCCATGAACCAAGAGAGATATGGAGGTACCAGGGATCACAGAACCCTGTGAACACAGAGTCACTGAGGCTGGAAAACCCTCCAAGGCCACCAGGCCCAAGCTGTGCCCGATCCCCCCTTGTCCCCAGCCCGCAGCTCTGAGTGCCACCTCCAGCCCTTCCTTGGACACCTGCATGTCTGGGGACTCCAAACCTCCCTGGGCAGCCCCTGCCACTGCCTGACCAGCCTTTCCATGGAGAAATTCCTCCTGAGGATGCTTCAGGGAAGACCCAGGCGTGACACCAACAACTTCAGGACAAAGCCCGAGGGTAAGGACAGCTTGGGTTAAGGCAGCCTCCCCCACAAGCTGCAGCCACCTGTTGTGTGACACTGGGGACAATGGAACCCCAGGGCAGCTGCCCAAGGGCTCTCCCTGAACCTGCATCATGGCTGGACACATCCCAAAAGGATTTTTCCCAGGTCAGATGGGATCTGACAGGCCACACCCAGCTGGATCCCAGGTTTACAGCAGATCCCTGGGATCTGCTGGCTCTGGTGTGGGCAGAGCCCTGGAGGTGCCCTGGTGTCTGAAGGCTCAGGGGACAGGGAGCGAGAAAAGAGCCAGAGGAGCCAGGGGACTTTTCAAAGTCTCTGTTGTCGTCTCAGACCCTGATCGAGCCGCAGGTCAAGTCACAGGAAAGTGGCACAAACTGTGCAGGTCAACAGCACCTTGGATGGAGGGTTGGGGATTCCAGGAATCCCTTTGTCAAACCTCACAACAGCCCTGGGAGGTAGGAAACACCCCCGGTGGGGGACTGAGGCACAGAGAAATGCAGTGGCTTGGCCAAGGCTTGGGACAAGCCAATGGCACGGGCGGTTTTCCTGCTCTTGTTCCCGGCTTGTGGCTCCTTCCCCTTGGAGTGTGAGCGGCTCCCGGAGCCTCTGCTGGGCTTGGCCCAGGAGCAGGGAACAGGCAACGTAGTGAGGGCTCCCGAGCCCTCAAAAGCACCCTGGGAAGCAGCTGCCACCGGCACTTGGGGCATTCAAACATTCCCAGACAGTTTCTCCTTCCAGGTGACCACAGGATTGTCACCGCTTTTCCTTGTGCAATGGGGCAGGAGGTCAGGAGGAGCCTGAGAACTTGGATCCTTCATGGAAATGTCCCAGCACTGCGTGGCCCAGTCCAGCCTGGGCACCAGGTTTCTGTCGTGGCAAACGTCTCCCCGAGACGATGCCCGGCGTGGAGCTGCGCTGGCAGCGGCTGGGGCTCGCAGGCCTGGAGGAGAAGGAGGAGGAGGAGGAGGTAGCTGCAAGGACATCACGCTGTCACCAGCATCTTCCATCGGTGGGGATGTTCACTTCCCCCAGTCAGCCCATCCCAGCCCGTGTGCAATGTCCAAAGAACTGAAGCTGGGAGGGAAATGGGCCAGGAAGCAGTGCCAAGAGCCGTGGTGGGATCTCCATCATGGGAAGCCCACCTCCAACCAACCCCTGGTCCAGCCGTGGTGCCAACGTCCCCTCCCCACCCCACCGCTACAGTTTGTGTGCTGAATACAAATTCTGTCTTACAAAAATAGTCCTCTGGTATCAAAAGGGTTACTACAACAGGAACGGGAGAGCCCTGTGGCCACAGCAGTGCAAATCAGGAGAGCCAGCTCAGGAAGGGTGGGCCAGGTGTCCTGGGACTGTCACTTCTTTGAGGAGAAGGAGGTGGATTGGACTTTGATGGCTGGGACTGGCCTGGAGCAAGAGGAAAGAGAAAGGACACAACTGGTCTGAGTGCAGGCACCAGACACCCACCAGCTCCACCACCACCTTCCCCAGCTCAGGAATTCCTCCATGGACACGGCCCCTGAGTGTGGCTGTCAGGAGTGGATCCCTTGAGGCCCCCTGCCCCACACCCAGAGCATTCAGCAGTGCACGAGAGCTGGGAGCAGGAGTGGCACTGTCAAGGACTTGGCCTTCATCTCCCAACTCCAAACAAAACCCACGTCCTCCATTCCCTGGGACACAGTGCCCTGTTGCAGTGCCCAGAGGGACCGTGTCCTGCTCATCCAGGAGCCCCTGGGAAGGTGGATTGATCCCCATTTCCCAGCCCAGTGCTGACCCAAAGCCACCCCACCACAGGGGTCTGTAAATGCCCTCCACTCACCTTTGAGGTGGCATCGGTCTGCAGGAGGAAAGATGAGAGAGCATCAGCGTCCATCCCTTCACTCCCTCATCCCCCAGCAGCCCCACAGCTCTGGGCTGGGAGGGCACTCCCAAGGGGTGGCATCTCCCTTATCCTGGCACCCTCCACCACCCAGCCTTGGTCACTCTCTGCCAGTCTTGGCCACTCCAGGTGGAGCCGTGGCTGAGCCCTTTGGGATGTCCCTGCCACGGGACCCCCAGTGCCCCCACCCCCGCTTTGGGATGTCCCTCCCACGGGACCCCCAGTGCCCCCACCCCACCTTTGGGATGTCCCTGCCAAGGGACCCCCAGTGCCCCCCCCTTTGGGATGTCCCTCCCACGGGACCCCCAGTGTCCCCACCCCACCTTTGGGATGTCCCTGCCAAGGGACCCCCAGTGCCCCCCCCTTTGGGATGTCCCTCCCACGGGACCCCCAGTGCCCCCACCTTTGGGATGTCCCTCCCACGGGACCCCCAGTGCCCCCACCTTTGGGATGTCCCTCCCACGGGACCCCCAGTGCCCCCACCTTTGGGATGTCCCTCCCACGGGACCCCCAGTGTCCCCAGCAGCCAGACCCCAGCTGTGGGGACACCCAGCTCCTCCCCACTCACTTTAACGGCCTCGTGGGGTGGCTCGAGCCACTCGTCCCCGACACCTTGAAGTTGGAAGGAGGGACCATGACCAGCAGGGTCTGTCCGTGTGCAGGGGGCAGCTCCTTGGCCAGGAGGGGACTCCCCGGCAGCGGCCGGCGCGGGGCTTGGTGCTTTGGGACCACCTGGCATCACAAAGGGCACGGGCAGAGACAAAATCCTTAGAGGAACATCCAGGGAGCCCCTACAAACCTCCCTCCCCTGCAGAGCTGAGAGGCTTCAAAGCACAGAACACCCAAAAAACCCTAAAGCACCCTCAGGTGTGATGGGCTTCCTTACAAACCTCCCTCCCCCTGCAGAGCTGAGAGGCTTCAAAGCACAGAACACCCAAAAACCCTAAAGCACCCTCAGATCTGATGGGCTCTCTGCATTGTCAGCACAGGTCCGGCCCTCAGGGGGCTGAGACAGCTCCTCGGAGAGCCCAGCCCGACCCCAGCCAGGAGCCAGGGGGCTTCCCTGGGTCGGGGGGACCGAGGCAGCAGAGCTCACCTGGGGGCTCCTCACGGGGCTGCAGGGAAGAGGTTTCTTCGGAGGTGGGAGCTTGGCCTGGGAGGCGCCGGCTTTGGTGGGGACCAGGGGTGACTTGGTGGCCGGGGGAGGGGGCCTGGCGGGTTTGGGGTCTCTGGGGCGGGGGGAGATGGAATGGGGAGCCGGGCGAAGCGGGTGGACGACGTTGACGGGCTGAGAGCCGGGCTGGGCAGCGCCGGCCTTGGGGAGGAACGCGGTCCGTGGGCCCTGCTGCGAGGAGAGAGGGACAGAGGCAGCGGGGGAGCATCCTGGGGTCACCTCCTCCTGCTGCTGAACAGCAGACGTCCCCTCGAGGCCTGGGCTCGGGGAGCTGCAGGAGCACTTTCTGGGACCACCACCCTCAGCAGCCCACCCAAAAGCTGACGTGTGCCGTGGTGAGACACAGCGTTGGGGGCTGGGTTTGATGGTCTCAGGTAGGAACATTAGAGGGCATTTCCAGCCTTCCTGCTTCTGTGGTTCTGTGTTTGCTCCTCACTAACCCCATGGGAGCATGGGGATGAGAAAGGTGCTGCAGACCCAGAGCAGGGTCAGCTCTGCTGAATCCACACCAGATTTCCAGCAGGTGGGAGACATCCAAAAAACCTGAATTCTTCCTAAATTCGGCGCTGTTGCTCAAAAAGCACCAGTGCAGGTTCAAAGTTAAAAGTCACTGAAGTGTGGTACAGGATAAATAAAAGGACTGGAAAAGGAGGGAATAACCAAATGAAGGGATAACCAAACCTGCAGGAGCCAAGAGCAATGACCCGAGAAGGAAGAACAGGACACCATAAATCAAACTACAAAGCCAAAGACCAACTTTGTTTGAGTTTTGGCCTCATTAACATGAGAAAATACCACACCCACACCCCCCCCAACACAGGCTGTGATCATTCCTCACTCCCATCTATCCTTTTTCCACATGGGAGATTTCCCAGTGGAAATCAGGGGATTTCCCAGTGATCACCAGGGGAGTTTGAGCTCAACAAACAGTTTTAGGAGGGATGGGCACACCTGGCCATGGGCACACCTGGCCATGGCTCAGTGCAGACACGGGGCAGGACCAGCACAGGGCACCAGGGCTTGCCCAGTTCCTGGGAGCAGATGTGATATCCACATCCCAGCAGGGAATGAAACCTGGCAGCTGAGTTATCCCTGACCCTAGTGAGTTATCCCTGTCTTTAATGAGTTATCCCTGACCCTGGTGAGTTATCCCTGACTCTAGTGAGTTATCACTTACCTCAGGGGGGTGGCTGGAGGCTGAAATGTTCCTCAGGGTGAAAGCACCTTTGGGATGGGCACTGCTCGACTTCCGACCCGTGGACTTCTTCCTGCTGGGAATTAGGGACATGGCAAAATAAAGCAATCAGGGGAGCAACGGCTGCCTCTAAAATGCTGCCCATCAGTGCCTGTCTTAATTAACACCTCATTAACAGCCAGCCCTTGCTGCTGGGGAACATGGATGGTCAGTGTGTGATGGGCAGCAGGAAAGGTCAGTGTGTGACAGGGACGGTCAGTGTATGGAGCAGGGATGTGCAGTGTATGGAGAAGGGATGGGCAGTGTGTGATGGGCAGCAGGGATGGGCAGTGTGTGTGACGGGGATAGTCAGTGTGTGATGGGCAGCAGGGACGGTCAGTGTGTGACAGGGACGGTCAGTGTGTGTGACAGGGATGGTCAGTGTGTGTGACGGGGATAGTCAGTGTGTGACAGGGATGGTCACTGTGTGTGACAGGGATGGTCAATGTGTGACAGGGATGGTCAATGTGTGACAGGGACGGTCAGTGTGTGTGACAGGGATGGTCAGTGTGTGTGACAGGGATGGTCAGTGTGTGATTGTGTGACAGGGATGGTCAGTGTGTGACAGGGATGGTCTGTGATGGGCAGCCTGCAAGGAATGAGAATTCTCCTGGATACCAGGCCATCTCCACCCCTCCCTGGCATTGTCCTGTCCAGAGGACCATCCATGTCCTGGGCTCAGGGAATTGCTGAGAGCCTCCCAGGACAGTCTGTCCAGACTCCAGAGCAGTCCCCACCGGAGCAGGGGCTGTGCACCACCAGCTCCCCCAGCCGCTGCCAGGCTGGGTGAAACAAGGGCCAGACTGCACTGGGTGCCCGGGAGAGAAGGGCAGGGGTGCCCCACACACCTGCAGGCCTGGTGGCCCCTGTGCCTGGTGTCCTTGATCCACCTGGCGAGCAGGGAGTTCTCCTGGCGGTACCAGTAGTAGATGCTCAGCGCCAGGGCGGGCAGCAGGAACAGGAAGATGACCACCAGGGCGATCAGGATGGACTCGTGGTCTGGCAGGGGAAGCACAGGGACGAGTGAGGGGCCGGGACAGCCACCAGCCTCTGGCCTCGCTCCATGGGCGTGGTGACCCCATCTGCCCACTCTGTCAGCCGAGCTGGAGACACCCCTGCTGCTCCAGGAAGGGAACGGGCCCTCAGTGGCCTCTGATGGCAGTGGGTGGCCACCGACCAGCCAGAGCTGGGACACACTGCCTGGACAGGCCCCACGCAGCCCCTCTGGAAGCACGCCCCCTCCCCTGGCACCGCTGCAGCCCAGGAGCACCTCGGGGCCCTGGGGACGAGCTGTGACTCACTGTGGCTCTGCACGGGGCCACTGTCCACGCTGCCACCCAGCCCCGGCTTCTCGCAGAACGGGGGCGCCCAGCCCGGGTCACAGTGACAGTTCTTGTTGCTGTTGCAGACCTGGGGACAGAGGAGAGGTTGGGATGTGTGGCAGGGGTGGTCCACAGGGCAGGAATGAACAGATGGTGACACAAGTCTGGGTTGAAGAAGCTTCACCCCTGACAATGCTCCCCCGTGGACATCGCAGAATCCCGAAATGGTTTGGGTGGGAAGGGACCCCAAATCCCACCCAGTGCCACCCCTGCCATGGCAGGGACACCTTCCCCTGTCCCAGGTGCTCCAGCCCCAGTGTCCAACCTGGCCTTGGGCACTGCCAGGGATGCAGGGGCAGCCCCAGCTGCTCTGGGCACCTGTGCCAGGGCCTCACACCCTGCCAGGGAACAATTCCTGCACAATATCCCATCTACATCTCTTCTTTCAGTTTGAAGCCATACCCCCTGCTCCTGTCACTATCTGCCCATGCAAAAAGTCACCCTTCCTCTTCTTTATAAGCCCCATTTAGTGCTGGAAGGTGCCAGAAGGTCTCCCCAGAACCTTCTCATCTCCAGGCTCACCAACTCCAGCTCTGAGAGCCTCAAGCATGCTGGGCAGAACAAAAGGGTAGGTGTGGATGTTTTACCAGTCACAAAAGGGTAAATCAGATGTTTTATCTGTCACGTCCCTTCCATAACCCATCAGGAGTTTCCACAGCAGTTTCTGTTGCCTCATCTGACAAAGCCCTGCACTCCACAGAGCTCAAACCTCTGTAACCTTTCAGCTTTGGAGAACCACATCTCCTCCCACTCCCTGGACCACTTCCCTGCCTTTCTGCTGTCCCAGTTCTCCTTCCAACTCTTGTTTTGCTCTCAGGGGGACCAGGCACCTGCTCTGAGCTCCAAACACTCTCCAGCTGAAATCAGGCCCTGGCCCACGTTTTGCAGATGGTGCTTACACCACCAACCCTCTTCTTCCTCTCACTTGGAGCCAGGTGAGCAAAGGTCCCGGCCCAGCCCCACCTGGGACAGGTCTGAGAGGCAGAAACCCACTGGCTCACAGGGCCCATGCCTGTGGGAGGCGTCTGGCTGGCCCCAAGCCCTGTCCCTGGTGGCAGGGGTCCCTGCGGGTGCCAGCAGTGGCTCACCCCGTGGCCGTGGCAGCGGGACACGCACTTCTCCAGCTCAAACAGGGACGCGTTCTGGCAGCGCCGGTCCTTGCACACCTGGGAGGGACACGAGGGGCTGGGGTCACAGAGGGGCCCGGAGAGGGACAGCTGGGGGCTCTGCAAAGGATTGACTGCTGGAAAATGCAGGGTGGTGAAATCGCGAGGTTCCAGCCGCGGGATTCCGCTCCCAGCCCCTCTCCAGAGCCCAGCACCACCACTCCCACCCCCTCCACACACAGCCCACCTGCCAGCTCCTGGAGAAACCATTTCCCATTTGGCCCTAAAGCCCAGGCACTGGCCAAAATAAACAATGCTGGATTTCAAATATTTCCTCATGAAAATGTCACCGCTTTGGCCTTCCCAAAGAAAATTTCACTGTTAAAATGCCAAACAGGGAAGGCTGTGTCTCCACAGCCAGCTCTCTCTGGAACACATCCCTCCTTCCCTGTCCTCCAGCAGCCTCTGCCCTCTCTCAGCTCAGCTGGCCCCCTCCAAAGTCCTTGGAGATGCAGGGGCTGCAGAGACCAATGCCCAGTTAGCACTGGATTTGTCACGTTGATTCCTGGCAGAGATTTCCTGTTTCCTCTGGGAAACAATCTCTTCATAGGAGGAAGCCTCATCCGTGAAATCCTGGGGCAATTCCCGCTGGAGTGCTCCACTCTGAACTGATTTGGTGAAGAAACTTGGAGGGCACAGAGAACGATTTGTTGGCCTAAACATGACTGAGTATCTGGTGATGCCCACAAATGCCCCGGGTGAGAAGAACCTGGTGGCCTGCAAGCACCTGGTGGCAGCAGTTGAGGTGTCCCCGAGACAAGGCCTGCAGGTGCGGAGGAGCCGCTGCCGGGGCCCGGCTGGGAGGCAGGGCAGAGCCGGCGCAGCCCGGAGCTGGGTCAGAGCCCGGGGAAGGTGCCCCCCGGCAGGCCCGCGGCAGGAAGGGGCACTCACCATGCCATCCCCGCACTTGGTGCCCGTCAGGACCAGCCCGGGGTCGGACAGGTCCTCCTGGTCGTCCTTGGCGCTGTAGACGAAGGTGCCCCGGCACTTGACCTCGCGGCCCTTGAAGCGGATGGTGGTGTCGATGGACACCGTGTTGGTGCCCTGCGGCTTCTTGGCAGAGCTCTGGCACTGGATCTTCCCACACATGGCATCCCTGCAGCGGGCACGGCCGGGGGCAGCTGGGACGGGGGCTCGGCCCCCTCACCCCCCAGCCCCGCCGTCCCACACCTGGGGGTCATTGCCTCTGGGTTTATGCTGGAGAGGCTCAGCAGGATAAATCCTGGACAGCACAGAAATGATGGAGGGAAAGAGCCAGGGGGAGGGGAGGCTCTAACACCCCTGGGGTCACTGGGATCAGCGGAGAGCACACACTCCCTAAATCTGGCACTGGCTTTGATCTCCCAGCACGCTGGGCTGGGGGCTGCTTGGGGTGGGACACAGGATCCCTTAGGCTGGAAAACACCTCGAGATCTCCAAGCCCCAGCTCCCAGCAGCCATGGGGACAGAGCCCAGGAGCGCCTGGTGGCTTCCTGGGGTACAGAGCAGGGCTGATGCCCGGAGGCAGGGCTGAGGTAGGGCCCTCCCAGTGGCGTGGCAGGGGTGGCAGGGGCAGCTGTGGGGGCGGGAGGGGACACCCGGTGCCAGCGCTGCGCCCACCTCTTGTCACACTTGACATAGCGGCCCTGGCTGTCCTTGCCGCAGTTGCCGTAGGTGTTCCCTGCCATGTTCACGTCCTGGAAACAGGCGTCGGGCGCCGGCCACGCTCCTGCACACAGGGAGAGCTCTGGGGCTGCGGGCAGCGGGCAGGAACCCCGGCGGCAGCACGTGATGCTCAGGGAGAACACACGGGCAAAGCTCTCCAAGAGCTGCTGCTCTGGGTGCCAGGCCAGGGACAGGAGGGATGAAATTCCCTATTTTCTGGAGTCTTGTGGAGGATTTTGTTCAGAGAATGGTTTTGGTTGGAAGAGACCTTAAAGCCCATGCAGTGCCACCCCTGCCATGGCAGGGACACCTCCCACTGTCCCAGGCAGCTCCAAGCCCCAGTGTCCAACCTGGCCTTGGGCACTGCCAGGGATCCAGGGGCAGCCACAGCTGCTCTGCCTGCCCCCCATCCCATTCCTGAGGATTTGGCGTTCAGAATTCTCCCCTGGCTGTTGGTCTGGCTGTGCCTGTGCCAGAGCATCCACGCAGCACTCCCAGCCCCATGGGCAGGGTCCCGGGACCCCCGGGCTGCTGCAGTGAGGGCAGGAACTGACCTGGCCCCCAGAGCTGCACACACTGCTGCTGGTGGGTCATGCACATGCCGGTGCTGCAGTAGGACTGACCTGGCCCCCAGAGCTGCACGCACTGCTGCTGGTGGGTCATGCACATGCCGGTGCTGCAGTAGGCCTGGCCGCGGGCGCAGGAGGAGCCGTCCAGCAGGTACACGTTGGCCGGGCAGTACGGGGAGGCTCCCGTGCAGTACTCGGGCAGGTCGCAGGAGCCCGCTGCTTCCCGGCACAGCGTCCCGGCCACCTTCAGCTGCGGGGGACACGGGCACAGGCTGGCACCGGGGCACTGACGGTGCCTCCTGGCACAGCTGGAAGCTGTAATGCCTGACAGGTGCCCTGTGAGGCTCTTGGGGGCTGTCAGGGTACTGAGGAATGTGAGGGACACATTCCTCAGCTGGACCTCAGCCACACAGCTGCCAGAGGGAATTCTCCTGGAGAGGGAGTTGGGAAAAGGGCCTGGAGGGACAGGACACAGGGAATGGCTTCCACTACCAAAGGGCAGGGATGGAAGGGATCTTGGGCAGGAATTCCTGTCTGGGAGGGTGTGAGGCCCTGGCACAGGGTGCCCAGAGCAGCTGTGGCTGCCCTGGATCCCTGGCAGTGCCCAAGGCCAGGTTGGACACTGGGGCTGGAGCACCTGGGACAGTGGGAGGTGTCCCTGCCATGGCAGGGTGGGGCTGGATGGGCTCTGAGGTTCCTTCCAGCCCAGCCCATTCCATGATTCTCCTGCAGACACAAGGTTCCACCTGAACCCTGCAGGGCTGGGTCTGCACCTGATCCCATGGGCAGGGGGTGGGCACGGGGTGGGCAGCTGGGGTCTCACCTTGCAGCTGTGGCAGCAGTCGCCGTGGGCACACTGGGCCCCCTCCTTGAGCGTGCAGTTGTGGGCGTTGCAGCAGGGGTTGGTGCATTCCTGCGTGGAGAGGACAGCTCCATGGGCAGTGGTCCCATCCCTTCCCCAGCCCCTCCCCACCCATCCCAGCATCGCCCTTCTCATCCTGCAAGGGGGGAAACTGAGGCACAGAGCGCAGGGGGAAGGACTGGGCACTCAAGGGGAAAGTCAAGGAGGAAGTCAGGACTGGGACAGATGGATTCAGGAAGGTGGGGCTGGGGAAAACCCTTGGGATGGAGTCCCTGTGGTGACAGCAAACCCTTCCCTTGGAAATGCCCTGTGCAGGAATTCCCGCAGCTGAGGTGGGCTGCAGGAGGACCCCTGTCCCTCCACATCCCAGGAGGGTCACTGTGTCCCTCCACCTCCCAGGAGGGTCACTGTGTCCCTCCACCTCCCAGGAGGGTCACACTCTGTCCCTCCACATCCCAGGTGGATCCCCTGTCCCTCCACCTCCCAGGTGGATCCCCTGTCCCTCCAGGTCCCAGGAGGGTCACACCTCCTGCTGCAGGAGCTGAACACGCGAGGGAAGGGGTGCCTGTGCGGGCAGAGCGGAGCAGGGCCGGGACAAGGTGGGAAACCAGTGAGAACTGGGAAGTTAGGACAGGGACAAACTGGCACAAACCCCCCCAGAGCAGATTCCCCGCTGTTCAGTGAGCCAGGAACATCTCCCAGCCCAGCTGGCACAGCCAGGCCAACAGCCTGGGGACAATTCTGAGCCCCAAATGCTCAGGAATGGGATGGGGGCGGGCAGAGCCTCTGTCCATCACCCGGGGACATCAACCCCCCCCCGGCACCCCCAGGGGGGAGCCCAGCCCGCCGTGCCCACCCAGCACTGCTGCAGATGTCACCTCTGCCCCCCGACACCGCAGACACCCCGAGCCACCCCCGGGGCAGTCCCCACACCTGCAGGGCCTCTGTCCCCACTGAGCCCAAAGCAAACCCTCCCTGCCCCACTGAACCACAGCAGCAAACCCCACCTGGGCCACTGACAACCCCACGGCTCACATGGGTGAGACTGCTCAAAATGAAAGAAATACGGAAAAGAAACACCAAACAGAACCCAGAGAGAGCAAAATATAAAACAGTCAGAGCCTACAATCTGTAAGGAACTGAGGGACAGGAGCAACACCCATTTTCTACAGAACCTCTGAGCAAGAGTCTTCTCTAATTTCACAGTTTGTGGGAGTTTCAGTGGTTTATGAAGAAGAAGGAAGCATTTCCTTCTTCTTAGTTTCATTTCCTCTTAAAGCTGAAAAATATTTTCATATGAGGACATCTGATTTTCAAGATGACTCAGAAAAGACGTTTTAAAAGTGATTTTGAAATCTCTTGAGCTGGAGGGAAACCTGTAAGAGCCTGCAGGTCATGGAGGCTGAGCAAACCCATGTACCCTACATGTATTCATATATATATTCATATACATGGCTGTGGCACAGGCTGAACACAGCCAGAAATGTGCTTTTCCCCACCACAATCCGCCCAGGCAGAGGTTAAATCCTGTGGGATCAACGCCAGGGTCTGGCAGCCCTGAAACCACAAGTGGGGTCCCACTGTTCCTTCCTAACTGGAAGAGCAGGTGTGTTCAAACAACAGGGAATAAACAGCTGCTGTTCCCCAGGGCAGGGATATCTGGGATGAGACATCCTCAGGAGGTGGAAAACCCAGAGGGAGAAGGACTGGAAAGGGAACTGGCACCAAGCACATGGATTATGCAACCCACCCAGAGCCACCCTGCCATGGCAGGGACACCTCCCACTGTCCCAGGGGGATCCAAGCCCCAGTGTCCAGCCTGGCCTGGGACACTGCCAGGGATCCAGGGCAGCCACAGCTGCTCTGGGAATTCCAGCCCAGCCCCTGCCCACCCTCCCAGCCAGGAATTCCTTGCCAAGATCCCAGCCCGATCTGCCCTTTGCCAGTGGGAGCCATTCCCTGTGTGCTGTCCCTGCAGGCCTTGTCCCCAGTCCCTCTGCAGCTCTCCTGGAGCCCCTTCAGGCACTCTGAGCATTCCCTGGATTTTTCCCTTCTCCAGGGGAACATTCCCAGCTCTCCATCCTGTCCCCAGAGCAGAGGTGACACCATCCCCTGCCCGCACACAGCACCACAGCCCGCTGGGCTCTGGGGACACGTCCAGGGCACGGGGGACACGTGCCAGCACTCACCCCGTGGCTGCTGCCATGACGCAGCCGCCCTGCTCCGGGGTGGCCTCCACGCAGCAGCCCTGGGCGTCGTGCACCATGCCGAAGTTGTGGCCGATCTCGTGGGCCATGGTGGCGGCGGCTCCGATGGGCTGCTCCGCGTGGTCCTGCCCAGGGAGGGGACGTGTCACCACAGCCACCAGCGAGGGACAGGGCTCGTGGAGGGAGCACACAGCCCCGGCATGCAGCTGGGTCCCGCCGGAGGAGGGGTTGGAGGAAGGTTGGTGGCAGCAGTGGGGTTTGGTCTCCTGATATTCCCCTGTGGGACTGGTGGGAAGCTCTTGGCTGGAGCCAGCTGCTTAAAACCCAGAAAGCTGGGTGCCCCCACCACCCTGCCCAGGGATCAAAGGTCACCAAGGCCACCGTGGCCACCCCATCATGGCCAGGGCCACACCAGGAGGAGCAGAATTATCTGGGCAGGGATGGTCCCAGAAATCCAGAGAGCAGAAGCAGGGACAGGCAGGGCCGAGAGGCAGGAGCAGCACAGGAGATCCCAGCGCTGCTGCCAGCTGGGAGCTGGGGGTGGGAGACCTTCAGCAGCCCCTTCTCACCCCCTGTGCACCTGGCCAGCACCTGCGGGGGTCAGGAGCTACAGCATCGTCCCTCACCCTCAGGCTGCACCCCAGGGACTGCTCCTCCAACCGCAGGGAGAACTCCCCCAGGCCGGGGGGCACAGGGACCCGCAGCCCCCCTTACCACGCTGACCCCTCCGGAGTTATCGGCGCTGCACATCCCCTCCAGCGGGGCCATCCCGATGGTGGTGCCCCCGAAGGTCTTCCCTCTGCCCGGCCAGGAGAACAGGGGCCAGCTCAGCGCCGGGGGGTCAGGAGTGCCCAGCCCCGGCTGGGAGCCCCCTCCCGGTGTCCCCAGCCCAGGGACCCACGTCAGCAGCTGGGCGTTGTCGTGCTTCTTGCGCGCCCTCAGCGACTTCTTCCACTGCAGGAAGGCCCAGAGCGTGGCGTTGGCGTCGCTGCTCACCGAGCACTGGTCCCGCTCCGTCCACACCTCCAGCCCAATCAGGGCCACCTTGATGTTCAGCAGCCTGTAGAACTGCAGGAGGGCACAGCTGGAGGGCATGGGGACTGGAATTCCCTGGCACCCTCCCTCCCTGGTGTGGCCTCACCGCTGGCTGTTTCCCTGTGGCTGTGTGACTCCAGAACTCACCTGCCCCAAACCCACCTGCAGCATGGGCTCCACAGGCACGTGGGGGCACAGGAGCCAGTCAGGGTGGCACAATGACATTCAGTGACAACACCTCAGTGTGTCCCTTCTTTGCCAAAAATGATCCCAGGCAGGGGCCAGCGAACGCTTCCCTGCTGAGCTCAGCCCACGGGTGACAAAGCCCTTCCCACCATGTGCTCAGGGAACTCCTGAACTCCTTGGTGGGTGGCCAAGGCCTGGCACAGCTGCCCAGGAGTGGGATGGGGTCCCCATCCCTGAAGGGATTTAAAGCCATGTGCATGCGGCACTTGGGGACATGGTCAGTGGTGGCCTTGGCAGTGCTGGGGAATGATTTGACTTGAAGGACTTTAAGATCTTTTCCAACCTCAACAATTCCGTAATTCTACATGGTCAGTGGTGGCCTTGGCAGTGCTGGGGAATGATTTGACTTGAAGGACTTTAAGATCTTTTCCAACCTCAACAATTCCATAATTCTATGATTCCTTGCCCTGGTGGTGACACGGGGACAGTCCCTGAGGGCACGCAGGGTCTGGCAGTCCCTCACCTTGTCCACGTAGTTCGCGATCTCCACGATGCGCTGCTTGGTGTGGCCCAGGTTGAGGTTCTGGTTCCTGTACTGGAGAGAGACAGGATGGGGAAGGGTCGCGGGGTCAATCCAGGGCAGAGTCAGAGAGGGACCCTGGTTTTCTGCCCCCCAGCACTCACCAGGGTGTGATCAGCAACGATGAAGAGCTCCATGTACTTCATGGTCCTCCAGGCATCCCTCCTGGCCTGCAGGCAGACACAGGGCTCAGCAAGGGGGGGCAGCCCTTGGCTCTGGGCACCCTCCAGACACCACAGAGCTGCTCAGCAGGGCAGCTGAGAAGGGAAACTGAGGCACAGGGTGACAGAGAATGTTTGGGTGGCTCCAAACAACCTCACATCATATCCCACATGGTAGGATGTAGCACCGAGACCCGACCCAAGCATCCTCTGAGGTTCCCTGCCCAAATTCAAGCCACACAAGCCACCCACACAGACCCTCTCACCCCACCTGCCTGCACAGCCTGCCCAGCTGCTGGGGACATGGGAGCTGTCAGCAGTGCCAGGAGCTCCTTCCAGCCCTCTGCCTGTCCCCAAACAGATCCTGTGTGGATCTACCCATGAGGATTTACCTGTGAGGATCTACCCGAGTGGATTTACCCATGAGAATTTACCTGTGAGGATCTACCCGAGTGGATTTACCCATGAGGATTGCCCCATGAGGATTCACTCACCCATGAGGATTCATTCCCCCCTGAGGATTCCCCCGTGAGGATTCCCCCATGAGGATTCATTCCCCCGTGAGGATTCATTCCCCCCTGAGGATTTACCTGTGAGGATTTACCTGAGTGGATTTACCCATGAGGATTTACCCGAGTGGATTTACCCGTGAGGATTCCCCCATGAGGATTCCCCTGTGAGGATTCCTTCCCCCGGTTCCCCATACCGTATTTCCCCGTTCCCCATTCCCCGTTCCCCATTCCCCATTCTCCCCATTCCCCGTTCCCCATTCCCCATTCCCCGTTCCCCATTCCCCATTCCCTGTTCCCCATACCGTATTCCCGAGCAGGTGCTGAGCACGACCCAGGAGCCGCGGTGGCCGCGGACGTGGCCGTGGTAGTGGCAGTGCTCCTGCAGAGAGAGCGGGACCGTCCTCAGCGGGCCGGCAGCAGCAGCCCCGCGGAATGTGCCAGAAAAGCATCCCTTTTCCCTCTCCCCTTCTCCGTCTCCCCTTTTCCATCTCCCCATTTCCATTTCCCTTCTCCGTTTTCCAGCCAGGCGAGCGGTGTCCCCCGCACCGGGATCGGGATCGGGAGCGGGGTCAGCCCGGGACACAGCCCGGCGGCCGGCGCGGCGCTGGAAGGGTGACAGGAGCCGGTGGGGCCACGGGCAGGGCTGCTGCTGCTGTGTTTATGTCCCGAGGTGCTGTCCCGGGGCCAAGAGCCGCAGCAGCCGAGCGCTGCCGCATTCCCGCCGGGAATCGCCCCCGCCCGCACCGGAGCGGCTCCGTCCGAAACCCCCGGAGCACAGAGGGGAGCGCCCCGCGCCCCCGCACCCACCGTGTGGTTGGGGGTCACCGTCACGGGCTGGCCCTGCTCGCTGTAGTGCGTCTCCGTGTAGCCCGGAGCCAGCAGCCTGCGGGGACAGAGCGGGGACAGAGCGGGGACGGGAGCTGGCAGCTGCTCCGGGGCTCCCGGCACAGCAACGCACCGAACCCCTGAGCCCGGGCCCGGCCGGGACATCCACACATCCCCCGAGCTCGGGCTGGCCCTGCTCGCTGTAGTGCGTCTCCGTGTAGCCCGGAGCCAGCAGCCTGCGGGGACAGAGCGGGGACAGAGCGGGGACGGGAGCTGGCAGCTGCTCCGGGGCTCCCGGCACAGCAACGCACCGAACCCCTGAGCCCGGGCCCGGCCGGGACATCCACACATCCCCTGAGCCCCCTGAGCTGGGCTGGGCCATCCACACATCCCCCGAGCCCCCAGAGCCATCCACACATCCCCCGAGCCCCCTGAGCCGGGCCTGACCCCAACCAGAGGCTGCCCATGGCCAGCAGGGACAGGGATGGCAGCAGGGACAGTCCAGCGTCCCTCTCTGTGCCTCAGCAAGGACGGGGCTGCCCAAACTGGGGAGCCCAAACTGCCCTGGGGTGCTGCTCTGGGAGGGGGCAGCCTGGCTGCCCACCAACACCCTGCCCAAATGGGGCACGGGGACCCCAAAAATATTGAGATTATTGTGAGAAAGCTCAGGCTGCTTTTAGGAAGCTGGACCCCTGCCTTTACCCCCAGCCTCAGTTTCCCCCAGCTATGGCCACCTCCTCCCGGGGCTGGTCCAGGCATGACACATCCTATCCCATCCCATCCCATCCCATCCCATCCCATCCCATTATCCCATCCCACCCCTTCCAGCTGCAGGGAAGAGCCAGAGCTGAGCTCACAGCTGGAGAGCACGTGGGGTGGGGAGCTGGGGGGACAGGCTGGAGTGACCCCAGGGGTGACAGGAGAGAGAAGGAGAAGGAGAAGGAGAAGGAGAAGGAGAAGGAGAAGGAGAAGGAGAAGACAAAGACGATGAAGAGGAAGAGGAAGACGAAAAAGAAAAAGAAAAAGAAAAAGAAAAAAGAAGAAAAAGAAGACGGGTTTTCCTGCATTGCCCAGATCTGTGTGACCTTGCCCAGATCCCAGGATGATGGGTATCTGCTGGAAGCCTGCAGTCCCCTGGGGTGGCAGGTCCCTATGGGGATGGCAGGTGACCCCTGGGGTGGCAGGTGACCCCTGGGGTGGCAGGTCCCCATGGAAGGGCAGCACCCCTGCAGGGGCTCGGCCACCCAGAGAAGGACAAAGAGGGCCAGGTTTTCCCCTGCTCTCAGTTTAGACTCAGTTTTGGGGTTTGGCCCTGTCCCCAAGGTTACATTCTGCAGAGAGAAGAAAGCAGCAGTGCTCCCAGAATAGCCCTCCTGCCTGTCCCTCTCTGCAGCCAGCGTGGCCCCAGAAATGTCACTGTGGGCACGGCTGTGGCTTCCCAGCCCGTCAGTGGGAGCCTGGCACCAGGGACTGCAGCCACAGCCCAGACAGGAGACACAGCTCAGTCTGCCAGGGACACGTGGTGGCTGCCAAGGAAGGGCCTGGCCAGCGTGGGGACATGGGGACAGGCTGGGGACAGGGACAGGTGGGCTGAGGACACAGGAAAGGCAAATCCTCCTGCCACAGCCAGGGAACGGGACTGGGATGGCCGAGAATGTCACACCCCAGGCTGGCCCCACAGCACGGGATGTCCCCTCCAGGCAGGGAGGGCAGGAGGAGCCTGCTCCACCAAGCAGGGTGAGGAAAACAGCCCAGGATGGTCCTGGAGAGCGAGCAGATCTCCCAGGGCAGAGAAAGGTCTGGGACAGCCCGGCCTCACTGGCCCAGGGCGCACAGGGCTGAGGCAGCAGTTTGGATGTCCCCACGCTGTGTCCCCAGGCTGTGTCCCCACGCTGTGTCCCCACGCTGTGTGTACCCCCAGGGCAGTTTGGATGTCCCCACGCTGTGTCCCCACACTGTGTCCCCACAGCCAGTCTTGGGTGCCTTGGGTGCTGTGCACTGCTCTGGGTGCTCAGGTCCCCTTTGTGCCACCGTCCCCAGCTCACCCAGAGCTCTCCCTCCTGCCCTGCCAGACCCCCCAGGGGAGCCCCCTCCCTCCTGCCCCTGTCCAGCACGGCAGTGGCACAGCGAGGGGCAGCCAGGACACTCCACGGTGGCCTGGAGCACCAGCAGACACAGGGCCAAGCTCTGCCCATCAGCTTTCCACCCCCACCGCCAAGCCCATTGCCCACAGCCCTCAGATGTGCAGAGGGACCCCCCAGTTCCCCTTCTTGCACACCAGAAGCTCGCCTGCTGTCACTGGGGGCCCTGGGGACACCGTGGGGGCTGGGTTTGTGCCCCAACAGCAGCAGGAAGGGGACTCTGCCAGGGCCAGCCCCCACGGCTGCTGGGGAGAGGCAGCAGTGGAGGGGTCAGCCCTGCCCTGCTCACCACGGGACACAAACCCACCAAGGGACAGAGAACTGGGGCTGCCCCAGCCCTGGCAGTGTCCAGGGCCGGGCTGAACAGGGCCTGGAGCAGCCTGGGCTGTGGCAGGTGTCCCTGGTGTCCCCTGCCCATGGCAGAGGTGGCACTGGATCTTCGAGGTCCCTTCCAACCCAAACCACTCTGGGATTCTGGGGGTCTGTAAAATGCCACGAGGTCTCAGGCAGAGGGACAAGGAGGGCAGGGCAGATGGACAAAGTTCTGTCCTTGTCCCAGGGCAAGCTTCCGTGAGTGGCACAGGGGACAGGGGTCAGGGGCTGCTGCCACCTGCATCCAAAGTGAACCAGAGAAGGAGCCCAGAAGGGGGTGACCAAGGTGGCAAAAGGAGCATTTCAGCCCAGATGGAGCCACGCTGGGCTGTCTGGTGGCCCTGGCAGGGATGCCCGTGTCCCCTCCCCAGTCCCAGCCCCACACTCACTGGTTCCTCTCCAGCACCAGCACGAGCTCTTTGCCCTCGGCCGTCACAGCCACCTCTGCCCGGGCAGGGGCCGGCACCTGCAAGGAAGGGAGGGATGGGCTCAGCAAAGATCCCTATGCCCAGAGCCTTCCTCTGCTCCAGCTGCATCCCAGCCCCTCCTCCCCGGCTCTGCTCCACCCTGGCTCGGGCAAGGCGACCTCCCTGAATTCCCGGCCAGCAGGGATAACAGAGATTCACAGGACAGTCAGGGAGGAGGCAGCAGATCCCAGCTCTGCTGGCAGCTGACCCAGGGCAAGGCAGCAGGGGAGAACAGGATGGCCCCGGGATGGGGAGCAGCTCCAGGAGCACCCTGAGCAGGGTCTCTGTGTGCTCCGTCCCAGCACGGCTCTGCCCCGCTGCAGGGCTGACCAGGGCAAGGAGCCTCAGCCCTGGCAGGGTCGGTACCCAGTGCAGCCTGGGGGGGATGTTAATCGCCCCAATGCCCCGGGCACCGGATGAGGGCCGTTAAAAATACCTGGGAATCGCGGGCAGAGAAAGGAAACACTGACTCAGCTTCCCCAGGATGCCGGCGGTTTTACTCATTCCCTCTCTCCGGAGGGTGTGAGACGGGAATCCGGCTTTGGAGCCAGCCCAGCACGGCCCAGCTGCGCGTGACAGGATGGGCTACAGCCCTTCCCTGTGTCCCACACCTGTCCCCAGCGCTGGGGACACTGAAAGCGTGGCCCTGCCCGCTGCCCATGGCCGGGGCTGTCCCTGAGCTCTGAGTCCCCCTCAGTCCGTCCCCACACAGGGAGCCCGGCGGGCTGCCCGCCCTCGGGATGGCCTCGGGACCCCATCACCTGGCCATGGCCACGGGCCTGGCGAGCTTTTCCCGGCTCTGCAGGGAAAGGGGACAGAGCAAGGAGCCGTCCCGCAAGGCCCCGGCTCTGGCTGCTCCTGGCATCAGATCTCTGCAGCCGGAACACAAGGAACGCAGCAGGGAGGGGGCAGAGCTGGGTGATTCACGGCCTGGGATGAAGCAGAGGTTAAATCCTGCTTCCCTAATTCCCGTGGAATTGGCTGTGCTGCTGCTCCTGCAGCCCAGCCGCCGATGCCCTGGGTATGGGGCAGAGCAGGGGAGCCCCGGCCGGCAGCCCCAGGGAACCTGAGCTCACCCTGGGCCCGGGACAGAGCATTTGGGCTGTGGGGCCGCGGGGTGCCAGCACTGCCCCGGGCTCTGGGGTTTGTGCTCCCAGGGCTCCTGCACATCCACCCCAAGGGCAGCCCCGGGCCGGCCCGGGCCAGCCCAGGAAGCTGCTCAGGCTGCCCGTGGGATGCTGCGGCTGCGGGGAGCTGCGGGGCTGGGCTCCAGCTGCACAGGACAGCGAGGAGCCGCTCCTGCCAGGCGGGGTGCGGGCATGGAGCCGGGAACGGAGAGCCGGGATGGGGATGGAGCTGGGGATGGGGATGGAGCCGGGAACAGAGATGGAACCGGGATGGGGATGGAGCTGGGGATGGGGATGGAGCCGGGCTGGGGATGGGGATGGAGCCAGGATGGAGCTGCAAATGGGGATGGAGCTGGAAATGGGGATGGAGCCGGGAACGGGGATGGAACCAGGATGCAGCTGGGAAGGGGGATGGAGCCGGGATGCGGGGCTGGAGCCAGGGATGGGGATGGAACAGGGATGGGGATAGAGCAGGGATGGAGCTGGAAATGGGGATGGAGCTGGGGATGGGGATGGAGCCGGGCTGGGGATGGGGATGGAGCCGGGATGGAGCTGCAAATGGGGATGGAGCTGGAAATGGGGATGGAGCCGGGAACGGGGATGGAACCAGGATGCAGCTGGGAAGGGGGATGGAGCCGGGATGCGGGGCTGGAGCCAGGGATGGGGATGGAACAGGGATGGGGATAGAGCAGGGATGGAGCTGGAAATGGGGATGGAGCTGGGGATGGCGCCGGGAACGGGGATGGCGCCGGGATGCAGCGATGGATCTGCAGCCGGGCTGGCTGAGCCCGCTCCGCCTCCGGCTCCTCTGCCCAGCTCCAAAAAAGGCGAGCAGCCACAGCGCTCGCAGAAAACAGCCCCAGAGCAGAGGGAGCGAGGCCCCGGCTCCGGCGGGTCCCCCCGGCCCGGCCCGACCGCAGCGGGGCCCCGCGGAGCCGCGGGCCAGGGGCTGCATCCCCTCCTCCGGCGGCGCTGGGAACGGGCGGTATTTTTGGAACACGATCTTGTACAAACATCGCTCTCTGGCCAAACATGGTCTGTACATTTTTCCTGCCGTTTCCCTCCTTCCCCCCGCCTCTTGCCCTCCCTTTTTTTCTCCCCGTCTCTGATCTCCCCAGCACCCGCTCCCTGCAGCCCTCTCCTCCTCCTCCTCCTCCCCCCCAAGTCCCGGCCGGCTCCTTCCCGGTTTAGAATTCCCCAGCAATTACTCCCTGCCTGGACTCCAGGGCCGTTACTGGCAGAATGTTCTTTCCCAGCTGCCGTCTTAAAGGGACACGTGCGTGTCCAGGGCTGTCCCATCTCCCGGGCTGCCAGGGGCTGGAGAACAAGCGGCTGCTGGTGGCACCTGTGTCCCCTCCCCGTGCCTCAGTTTCCTCTGAGAGCTCCTGGAGGGACAGTGGGCAGCAGATGGATCCTGGTTCCAGCTGGGATGGGCCCAGCTCAGCTCCTGGAGGATCAGCACAGCAAAAACAGGGAAAGGGGAGTGTGGGCAGTGTGGCTTCTGTGCCAGGCAGGAGTCCAGCAGCGAGCTCGAGGCCAGGCAAGGTGACTGCACTGATCAAACCCTGCTCCTTGTGCCTCGGGCCCGGCACGGAGCTGGCCCCGGGGCTCCTGCCAGGACCCTGCACATGGAAATGATCCAGGGCCAGATTCCTCCTGGCTCCAGCTTCCTCCTGGCTCCAGCATCTTCCAGGTTCCAACATCATCCCAGCTCCAGCATCATCCTGGATTCCAGAACATTCCCAACATCATCCCAGGTTCCAATATTGTCCCTGGCTCCAGCATCATTCCAAGGCCCAGCATCCTCCAGAGCTCCAACATCATCCCAAGGTCTAGCATCACCCTGGATTCCAGAACATTCCCAACTCCAGCATCATCCCCGGTTCCAGGACGTTCCCAACTCCAGCATCATCCCAGGTTCCAATACCATCCCAGGCTCCAGCATCATCCTGGGCTCTGCCATTGTCTCAGGCTCCAGCATCATCCCAAACTCCAGCATAATCCTGTGCTCCAACATCACCCCAGACTCCAGCACTGTCCTGGGCTCCAGCACATTCCAAGCTCCAGCAACATCCCAAACTTCAGTATCATCCCAGGCTCCAGTATCCTGGGCTCCAGCATCATCCCAGGCTCCAATATAATCCCACACTCCAGCATCACCCCAGGCTCCAGCACATTCCAAGCTCCAGCATCATTTGAGGCTCCAGTGCTGTCCTGGGCTCCAGCACATTCCAACTCCAGCACCATCATCCTGGGCTCCAGCACATCCCCAGTTCCACTGTCATCCTGGGCTCCACCGTGACCCGTGCTCCAGCATCCTCCTGGGTCCCAGCATCATCCCGGGCTCCTCCTGCTCCCCGATCTCCTTTCTCCAGCCCCCATGAACAGTGCCCAGCCCCTGCCAAGGCTGCAGGAAGCATTTCCTCTCAGCCCTGGCTGGATGTGCAGGTGGTGGCCCCTCTCCAGGCCATTCCAGCACAGCCTGTCCCACAGGGGCTGGAATTATGGAATTGCAGCTGGGATGACTCTGCCCTGGCCAGGCCCCAGCCCGTGGCTGGCCCAGGGGCCCTCCAGGCCCAGCTCAAGTCTGGTTTTATTTTTCACTCCATTGATCAGGAAAACCCCAGCGCTCTTTGCAGAGGGCTGAGAGGGTTGAGCTGCTCTTCCCCATTTCCCCACAGCTCCCATCCCAGCCATCCTCCTCATCCAGGCTGCCTCCATCCCTGCTGGGAAGCTCCTGCTCCAGGAGCAGGCTCAGGGAGCACCAAGTTCCCTGGGAAATCTCCCAAGCCAAGTCCCAGAGCTCAGCTCCCAGCCCGGCCAGCTGCTCAGGCAGCTCCCCCAGGCCCTGAGCTCCTAAGGAAGCTCCCAGAGCCCGGATGTGACAGGGATGGAGGTTACCAGAGATGCTCCATGGAGGATTTGCTGATGGGATCTGCAGCTGCTGGAGCAGCTGGGCTGCCCAGGGCCTCCCCAGGCAGCCGGGTGCCAGCACTGAGGCTTGGGGGACACAGCTGGGGATTGCTTCACTTGGGTGCCAAGGCTTGAGGAACACAGCTGGGGATTGCTTCACTTGGGTGCCAAGGCCTGAGGAACACAGCTGGGGATTGCTTCACTTGGCCAAAGCCAGCAGGACCCAGGGATGAGCCTCTCACACCCGCTACTCTCTGGAAGAGCATCCCTGGGAGTCAGGAACATCCCTGGGAGCTGGGAACATCCCTGGGAGTCAGAACATTGCTGGGAGTCAGAACATCCCTGGGAGTCGGGAACACCCCTGGGAGTCGGGAATATCCCTGGGAGCCAGGAAGCAGGGCAGCCAGCCCGGGCAGGCTTTGGGCTGGTTCAGAACAGAACTGGCAGGGTTGGCTCAGTGCAGCCACACCTCGCACATGGAAAGGGGGAAACGGGGAAAAGGGAAAAAAGGGGGAGAAGGGGAAAAGGGCTTCCCTGCAGGGAGCAGGGAAGGGAAGTGCCCTCAGCACCTGCAGCACATCCCAACCACCGCGGGCAGCCTGAGCCTCCCCTCCCGCTCCAGGGCGGGGTCGGGACCTCCCCGCGGTGCTCAGAGACCCCCGGGAGGGGCCGGAGTCCCCCCCGACAGCACGGAGTGCTCCAGCTCAGTCCTGGCCAGCCCAGGACAGGGACACACCTCCGAGGAGTGAGGAGAGGCAGGAGGAAGGAAGCTCCCTCGGTGCCAAGGGCTGGCCCTGCACAGGGCTGGGATGCCAGGGACACCCGGAGCATCCCAGCGCTGCACGAGGAGCAGCCCCCGGGCGGGGATGGAGGATTCGGGGGTCACCGGGCTGGGATGCTGCCTCCTAGCACGGCTGGCATCCGCACAGACGCGGTTATTGCCAGGATCTCTGCTGGAGGGCAGCAGGAGACGGGGTGGGGACGGAACAGACTAAATTGGTCCTAAAATTATGAGCGTCGGCAGCACCGGGGCAAAAAGGGCCAGTGCAGGGCTCTGTCCCGTCCCTGCCTGGCCGCCCCCATCCCTCCCCTGGCCGGGAACAGGCGGCTCCTTGTTCAGCCCGGCTGGGGCTGCAGGCGCAGCAGATGCAGGAAACACGCGGGACCTGCCCAGCCCCGAGCTCCCAATCCCCCGAACCCCCCGAACCCCCCCGGCTGCGATTTGTACCCCCGGCACCACCGGGGTGTTGGCAGGAGCAGAAATAAACCTGCGCTGCCACGCGATCCCCGTCTCAAGTGGCTCCAGCTTAAATATAGACAGAGCCGGGGCTGCCCGCCGGGGAGGGGACATTGCTCCAGGCCGGGGACATTCCTCCAGGCCGGGGACATTTCTCCAGGCCGGGGACATTCCTCCAGGCCGGGGACATTGCTCCAGGCCGGGGACATTGCTCCAGGCCGAGCACAGCACCCACACGGCTCCTGCAGCTCGGGCAGGAGCAGGCAGCGCAGGCTCCCCTGGAGAGCCAGGGCAGCACAAACCCTCTCCCGAGCCCAGCCCGCTCCCTTTGGCATCTCCCGGCGCCAGGAGGGCTCGCTCGGACCCTCTCAGGTGAGATGTCTCCCAGCAGAGTCTTCTCAGCTGCGCTCCCAAGCAGAGCAGCCCCTCGGAGCCGTCTGGATCAGAGCTGGGGGGGCTGGAGCTGCACAAGGAGCCCCCAGCCCCTCCCGGCTGCTGCGCCCAGGGCAAGGGGCCGAGCCCCGGCCAGGGTGGCCACAGGCACCTCAACCAGGGATGTGGGGACAGCAGGGGTGGCAGGGAGGGGGGGACAGCCCTGGGAGGAGACAGCCTCTGCTCCCTGCAGGGCACTGCTCCCAAATCTGGAGCACTTTCCCTTGGCTGCTCCTGCTATCCCAGCCAAACCTGGAGCTGACAGATCCGCTCCAGCTCCTCCCTCCGAGTGCTCCAGCTCCCTTCCACTCAGCCTGCGGCTCCTGGCCATCCTCCTCCTGCCCAGCACTCATCAACACCTTGTTTAATTAACTCACTGCTGCAGCCTCTGCTTTCCCTGTCCATCACCTGAGGGTGGTGATGGATCCTGACACTCCCCAGCCTGCTCATGGATCCTGAATTCCACAGCCTGCTCATGGATCCTGAAATTCTCAACCTGCCCATGGATCCTGATATCCACACCCTGCCCATGGACCTGCAGCTCAAGGCCTCCCTCGTGTCCCAGCAGGAGGGCTCTGGGCAGAGGAGGAAGGAGGAAGGAGGGTTTGGGGGCTGCCCTTACCTGCTCCTGCAGGCTGACGGCTCTGCGGGCACGGCCCCCCAGGAGCCAGTGGGGGGTGACCCGCTCTCCGTGGGACAGTGGCCCTGGGGAAGAGAAGAGCTGCTGAGCAGAGCCTGTGGGAGCCTGGGAGCTGCAGCTCCTGCACAGGGACAGAGCTGAGCACCAGCGCCCAGAGCTCCTCCGGGTGTTTCAGGGGGTGACACCAGCCCCAAGCCAGCCCCAAGGCTGGGTGTTTCAGGGGGTGACACCAGCCCCAAGCCAGTGTCACCCCCTCCCCACCTCACTGCTGGCTCAGCCTTGATCCTGCAAGGCTCCCAGGAGCATTGCTCCCACCCAGGCCCCAGAACAGGGGCCCAAACCCCCTCAATCTCCACCCTGGAGAAGCAGCTGGCATGTGGGAGATGTGGCTGCCCCTGGATCCCTGGCAGTGCCCAAGGCCAGGCTGGACACTGGGGCTGGAGCAGCCTGGGACAGTGGGAGGTGTCCCTGCCATGGCAGGGGTGGCACTGGAGGGGCTTTGAGGTCCCTTCCCACCCCAGCTGCTCCATGGCTCTGTGGTTAGTGGGAAGTGTGGTTCCACCGCCCCAAATCCAGCCAGGCTCTTTGCAGGCAGGGCTGGGCTGCAGCAGGAGCAGAGGAGCTGGGAGGGCTGTGGCTCGTCAGGGTTTGTCTGAGCTATCCCAGCCCCCCCGGGCAGGCAGCACAAGCCATTCCTTGGCTCCATCCAAGGCAGACTGACTTTCTAAGATTATTTTTTTCCTAAACAATGTGGCTGGATTTGACTGCAGCACAGGGAGCAGCCACTGATGACTTAAGCCTGGATGACAACAGAACAAAAAATTAAAATCTGAAGCTGCTGCAGAGAGGGGACGAGCCTGAACAAAAATGTCAAGGGTTGGGCCACCTTGCCAAGCCAAATGTTGTCAGGGGGAGCCTGGATGGAATTATCTTCCCCAGCAAAGTTATTTACTCAGAGAGTGGAATAACAGGGCTTAGGGCTCTCTGATTTTATAGCTTGTTTTGGTTCCTCGTGCAGAGATCCAGGGCTTTGGCTCGAGGGAAGATGAAGTTATTGGAAAGACAAAAGAAAAACAAAGGTGGAGTTTTGGGCTGGGAATTGCTGCTGGAGCTCGATGGGATCAGGTCACCCCGCCCAGCACCTTTGTCCCCCGGGAGTGCCCAGCGCTATGCCCGAGGTATTTAATCAGCTCCATTAAATATAGCTTGGAATCAGATTCCAGGAATAACTGCAGATAAGGGGTGGCACCGTCCCAGCTTCCTTCTCCTCACCTCCTCCCAAAGCAGGAGCCAGGCCCTCCACCCCAGCCTCACACCAGCTCATTTTCCCTGGGGAAACTGAGGCACGGGCTCAGCCGCGCCGGGGAAGCAGCCCCGGCAGGGTTTGGTGCCCTCCCATTTCAGAGCAAAGGAATAAATGCCTCTATTTCTAATTCCCACAGGGAGGAGGGCAGGGAGCTGCTCCTGCCCCGGCCCCAGCTCTCTCCCACGCCGGCTGGGGAGAGGATGGGACACGAGGGGCGGCTCTGCTGGGCTGGGCTCCGGTCCCAGAAATCCCTCAGCTGGGAGATTCAAGAGATGAGATTTAAGTTACGATATTTTAAATTTCCCACTGTTTTGTTTGTAGCTTTTGCTGGGAATCTGAGAGACTCAGAGCACGAGACGGGGCCTCCAAAATCTAACTCAAATAAACCCAAATGTAGTACAGAAAGGGTTTCCCACACCCCCCTTCTCTGGATTTCCTGGAAAACACTCATTGCCAGCCCTTTTTGGGAGCGTTGTGGGGAACGGCGCTGCTCTGGCCTTTGGGCTGTTGGCACCCCGAGCTGCGGGGCTGGGGGAGCCCCGAAGGAGCCCCGCAGAGCCCGGATCCCTCTGGAGCAGGCAGCTTTCCCTTCTCTTTATCCAAACTGAGCTTTGGCCCCACCGCCCTCCCTGCTCCTCTCCCAGCTGCACGGCGCTCTTGGAGCTGCTGGAAAACTTCTCTCAGCAACAGCCGAGAACCCGGCAGAGGTCGGAAGTGAAAAATGTAATAACAAAAAATGTGCTCTGGGTAGAGGAACATCAGCCCTGACTTCTTGGAATGGCTGGGGAAGGAAATAGGGATGAGGAAGAGACTACAGGCGGCCGGAGGGAAACTGGCAGCCCCTCTCCTCCTCCGGCTCCCATTTAAAAAGTGATGGGAGCCCCTGGGAAAGTCTCTATTTCCTCAGCGACGGAACGAGCCACGTTTCACGGCAAGACCCGCAGGACAGCACAAACCCCGAGCTCCCGCCCGAGAGCCACGGCCGGCAGCTGGCACGGCACGGGGGCTCTGGGCCGGGCCCGAGCTCCGGGGCGAGAGCGGCCCCACCCCTATCCCACCCGCGCCCCCAGCCCCCCTTACCTGCCGGCCCCGCCCGGCCCCGCGGGGGGAGCCCCAGCAGGACCCCCAGGAGGGCGAGGTGCAGCCCCCAGGCCTTGGCCGAGCCCCGGCGGGGCCCGGGGGGGCCCGGCCCGGCCATGCCGCCGCTCCCGGGCTGTCACCGCCCCGACTCGGCGCCTCCGGCCCGACCTCCTCCTCTTTATGCCGTCGGGTCCCTCCCCCGCCGCGGAGCCCCGAGCGCGGCCGGCCCGGCCGGGGGGCGGCGGGGAGGGGGCGGCTTTGTTCGCCCTTATTTATTGCTGTGTTTCTTGGCCCGGCCCGGCCGCTTAATGAGAACCAGACCCGCGGCTCAGCGGCTCCCAGGCTTCCCCCGCCTGCCGCGGCTCCATCCATCATCCATCAGCCTTCATTCATCAGACATCAGACATCAGCCATCCCTCCATCCATCCATCCATCATCCATCAGCCTTCATTCATCATCCATCCTCCATCCATCCATCCATCCATCCATCCATCCATCCATCCATCCATCCATCCATCCATCCATCCATCCATCCATCCATCCATCCATCCATCCATCCATCCATCCATCCATCCATCCATCCATCCATCCATCCATCCATCCATCCATCCATCCATCCATCCATCCCATCATCCATCCATCCATCCATCCATCCATCCATCCATCCATCATCCATCCATCATCCATCCATCCATCCATCCATCCATGCATCCATCCATCCATCATCCATCCATCCATCCATCATCCATCCATCCATCATCCATCCATCCATCCCCACCACTGCTTCCCCCTCTCTCCAGCCTGAGGAAAGCCCACAGGCTGTCTGCACAAGGAGATGGAGGAAAAGTGATTAAAGCAATTAAAGAACTCCACGTATCCCACCCCAGAGACACCTCTGTGATCCTCAATCTGCTTCACAGTTGTTGTTATTGTTAATATTAATTATATTGATTATTAACATCAGTATTTTATATTAATATAAATGCTATTAATAAAAAATTAATGCTATTAATAAAAATGCTATTAATTGTAGAATCACAGAATGGTTTGAGTGGAAGGGACCTCAAAGCTCACCCAGTGCCACCCCTGCCATAGGCAGGGACACCTCCCACTGTCCCAGGTGCTCCAGCCTGGCCTGGGACACTGCCAGGGATGGATGTCATTGACATCATCATCAGAGCAGGAGCAGCGTGTGTGGGGATGAGAGAATGCTCACTTCCCTTCCTGCACACACTCCCAGCCCCTGGGGTGCCTCCCTGGGGACAGCCAACTCTCCCTGCCACATTCAGGGCAAGGATTCATCAATAGTTATTAAAATCCCAATAGCAATATTGATTAGCAGCAGTAATTAAAGCTTTGCAAATGATTTTACCGTGGAAACGGGAACAGCTTCCAGGCCCCCTACCCAGAGTGCTCCAGGGACCTGTGGCCCAAGGTGACATCTGGGGACAAGAAGGCACAGGGGACTTTCCTGGGGTTTCCTGGCACAAAGGGACAGAGCAGAGCCGTGGCAGCAGAGTCAGAGCCCTGCTGGCACCACACACCTTGGGGTCCTGTGAGGGGCCCTCGGGTGCACCCTGCAGCTGCAAACATCTGGATGGAGGCAAGGGCTTCCCCAGCACCCACGAGCCCCATCGGGCTCAGCCTCCCCAGCAGGGTCAGTGGCACTGAGCTGCCCCTCCTGCCACCACGAGCCCTCCCCAGGCACCTTAGAGAACCTTTGGGGAGAAATTCCTCCCTGGGAGGGGCTGAGGCCCTGGCACAGGTGCCCAGAGCAGCTGGGGCTGCCCCTGGCTCCCTGGCAGTGCCCCAGGCCAGGCTGGACACTGGGACTGGAGCACCTGGGACAGTGGGAGGTGTCCCTGCCATGGCAGGGTGGCACTGGCTGGGATTCCATGGAGTTCTGCCTTTCCTGGGCCACTCTGCACAGCCCCAGGTCCCCCTGAAGCTTCAACCCACCCTGCAGGTCCTGCCAGCTCCAGGAGAGGACACACGAGAGGACAAATGCTCCAAAACCCATCCCTGCCAAGAAGGACTGTGGAAGAGTGGTGGGAACCTGAGGGCACAGCTGGGGATCAGCAGCCTGGCACAGACAGGGACAGACCCCAGGGGACAAACAGGGACAGATCCCAGGGGACAAACAGGGACAGACCCCAGGAGACAAACAGGGACAGATCCCAGGGCAGAGACCAGGATAGATCCCAGGGCACAGACAGGACAGATCCCAGGGCACAAACAGGGATAGACCCCAGGGGACAGACAGGACAGATCTCAGGGCACAGACAGGACAGATCCCAGGGCACAGACCAGGGGACAAACAGGGACAGATCCCAGGGGACAAACAGGGACAGACCCCAGGAGACAAACAGGGACAGATCCCAGGGCAGAGACCAGGATAGATCCCAGGGCACAGACAGGACAGATCCCAGGGCACAAACAGGGATAGACCCCAGGGGACAAACAGGGACAGATCCCGGGGCACAGACAGGGACAGACCCCAGGGTACAAATGGGACAGACCCCAGGACACAGACAGGACAGATCCCAGGGCACAGACAGGGACAGATCCCAAAGCACAGACAGGACAGATCCCGGGGCACAGGACAGATCCCAGGGCACAGAGCAGGACACATCCCAGGGCACAGACAGGACAGATCCCAGGGCAGAGACCAGGACAGATGCCAGGGCACAGACAGGCCCGGTGTCCCCAGCAGAGCGTGGCCTCGCTGCTCCTCCATAGCATGGGACATTTCTCCTCACTGCCCTCCCCTCAGCCGGGCAGGATTGCCTCTGCTCCCCCCGGGACTGTCAGCAGGCTGTGGGACGGGCCCTGCCCGGGCTGGGAGCAGCAGCTGGGGCTGCTGCACTTATAAAAGGCCTTTTTGTGGGCAGGAGCAGGCGCTGGCCCTGTCCCCTGCCACCAGCACGGCCGGCAGCTGCACCAGCCCGGGAGAGGGGAGTGAGGCCAGGGCAGCACGTGGGGAGTGCTGGGGTCACCCAGAGCTGGGGTCACCCAGAGCCTGGGGTCACCCAGAGCTGGGGTCACCCAGAGCTGGGGTCTCCCAGAGCCCGGGGTCACCCAGAGCCCAGGGGCACCCAGAGCTGGGGTCACCCAAAGCCTGGTGTCACCCAGAGGCTAGGTTCACCAGAGCCTGGTGTCACCCAGAGCTGGGGTCACCCAGAGCCCGGGGTCACCCAGAGCCCAGGGTCACCAGAGCTGGGGTCACCCAAAGCCTGGGGTCACCCAGAGCTGGGGTCACCCAGAGCCCGGGGTCACCCAGAGCTGGTGTCACCCAGAGCCTGGGGTCACAGACAGGAGAGGGGGCTCTGGCTGCAGGCTGCTCCCCCTCCCAGGCACTCCCTGTCCCCAGCCATGGACACAGGCACAGGAGGTGACCCCGGGCAGCCACAGCCTGGGGCTTCCTCAGCTCAAATTCCAGCACCCCTAACCTGGCACAGGTCCCTCTGCAAGGGACACCCTCAGGGGTGACAGTCCCAGAATCAGGGCATTGTTGGGGTGGGAAAAGCTCCAGGATCACCAAGTCCCAGCTCTGTCCAATCCCTACCTTGTCACCAGCCCAGAGCTCTGAGTGCCACCTCCAGGCCTTCCCTGGACACTTCCAGGGATGAGGACTCCACCATTGCCCTGGGCAGCCCCTTCCCAAGCACCCATTCCTTGAGGAAATTTCCCCAATATCCAACCAACACCCCCTGGCCCAGCCCGAGGCCGTTCCCTCTGCTCCTGTCCCTGTTCCCTGGAGCAGAGCCCGACCCCCCGGCTGTCCCCTCCTGGCAGGAGCTGTGCAGAGCCACAAGGTCCCCCTGAGCCTCCTGTGCTCCAGGCTGAGCCCCTTCCCAGCTCCTCAGCAATTCTCCAGCCCCTTCCCAGCTCCTCAGCAATACTCCAGCCCCTTCCCAGCTCCGTTCCTGCCCTAGCCACGTGTCCCTTCTCCAGTCAAACATCTCCTCACACAAACCCTGGCAGAGCCAGATGGAGACTCCCCAGAGCAGATGTGCCACCAGTGCCATCCCGGGACAGCTCACAGTGATGTCACAGAACTCCTCAGCCGTGTCCCCTCCTCGGTCACTCCCAGGGGCTCTTCCCTGGCCGGAGGAAGGTCAGGGCTGGCTGCTCAGTGGGTGAGTCAGGAGGGGAGGCTGGAGCCAGCCAGGACAATTCATGGGATGTTCTGAACCCATCTCAGCTGGAGGAGCAGCACGGCTGGGGAGAACAGCTTGGAATGCCTCCGGCATCGGGAAGTTGGAAGGAGCCTTTGTTGAAGCAACAGGGCAGCAGCATGTGGGCACACGAATAAAATTGGATTTGAAAACCCCCTTCTCCCCAGGAAGGCCCTCACAAGTGTCCTCATCCCCCTGGAATCTGAGCTCCTTCCAGCAGCATTAATCAGCGTGGCTCCCATTTGTCACGCCGAGGTCGCTCACCCTCCCACAGGGTCCAATTTGGCCGGGAGAATTCACTTTATCTGCTGATGTAGGGAGAAAAATATTACTAAAAGCTTGACTTTGAAACCTTGCTCGTGTGAAAGAGTCGGGCCTTTCCCATTTCCAGCCAGATTCCTGCCCCAGGCTGAACTCCTGCCCCGGCCCAGCGCTGACTTCAGCTGGCCCCAAGAGCAGTCACAGGCTCACAGAGGCAGCACAAAGGAAACAATATTTTAAAATCTGCTTCACTGGATTAAAGTGGGATCTGCACTAATGAACAGCCAGTCAGGAAGTCATGTCTTCCTCAGGGAATTGTTTCAGGAAAAGTGAATTATAATCCAGGATGCATTCATGGAAAAAATGAGATGGACTTTGGGGAGGGCTGACACAAAGCCCATAATCCATCTAATTCCAGGTGCCAGTGCAGGGGGTGGGCCTGCATGGTAAGGTCCCTGGCAATCCAAACCATCCTGGAATTCTGGAAGAGGTTTCCTCACCTGCTTTGGCAGAAATCCTTCATCTTCTCCTCTCCAAAGCCTTCCCGTGGTGCTCTCAGTGACAAAACTGGGAGGAGTCCCCAGCAGGCACCCACGCTGGACAGGCCATGTCCAGGCAGAGGGACAGCAACGGTGACCACAGACCTGGGCAATTCCTTCCCCAAGGAAATTGGGTACATGAGCTGTGTTTCACATCAG